GAGAATGAGAGAAGAAGCAGCTGTGCAGCGTAAACACAGAATAACTCCAGCTTTGTGTCTTTTTCCATTCTAGCTAAAGTCCGGGACAAACTGCGTCTCTTCTCAGCTCAATACCAAACGTGTAATATTTTCTCTGAATGAGGAACGATTCCGTCTTTTTACGGGACGATTGGCAACTCTACTAACTAACCTTATGAATAAAGTTCAACATCAGTAACATCATAGCACCACCCAGCTGTATAGAAACTCCGTCATGCTAGCTAGCACGCAGTACGAGTTATTGCAACTGACTGTAAAAAGTCAGCACAACGAAAATAAACTGCACCTGCTGGACACTGGGAGACCTGTGTCTCTGAGTGGGAGACCAGAGATCATATTAACATGTGTGTCGCTGTATTAACAAACATGCCATATTGGCCCAGTTTATTCTTCTTATCATTGTTGTGAGGAGACCATAAATAGCGTTTGTATTATCTGTTGTACAGTTCATTTGCTGTTATGGATAAAAAGTCTTTTTTTGTTTCAAAAGAGCTGATAACTATTCGCTGACAGCTGCCAACAAATATGATTCTATAAAGTGGTTCTATATAGTGTGTAACTGTTCATATAGAGCGCTATTAAATTTATTGCTAATGCAGTCATATGGCACACTGACCTCTGAGGAAATGTTAGATGGCACTCGCCATCAGAAAGGTTGCCGACCCTGCTGTAGAGTAAAATTCTAGTATCACTGTATGTGAATGGGGGAATGTGGCATCTTGCATAAAGCACTATGAGTGCTCCAATAGACTAGAAAAGCAGTAAGCACTAAGTCCAACTAGTTAAAACTCAGATACTACTTTATAATATAAAGTAGTTAATATGGTGTTATTAAAAAGGTGTTGCATTTTCCCCCTTAAGTCCCTCACTCAATTCTCTCAGCCACGCTGATTTTTATGGGTACCTCAGCAGAAATGGGATAAAGAAATTCTTGCTCCCTGCTCTTTTCTGGTATTTTATAACGGGTGAGATAAGGTATAGCACTTACACATATGTGTGTTTGTATGTGTGTCTGTGTGTGTTTTGTACAGGAGAGAGGAGGACAGTGGTTTCATGTATGAGGATAGTCAACAAAACTATGGAGGTTGTCAACAATAGTTACTGTCAACCTGAAAACCGACCGCAACCGCAAGTACGTCTCTGCAACACTCACCCCTGCCAGTACCGGTGAGAGACACACACCCACCCACACACACACACACACACACACACACACACACACACACACACACAAACAAATAGCTATTGGAATAGATACAGTATGACATAATACATATACATTATTTAGCCCATTTTTAGAAATTCTTTTGCTACAGCAGTGATGATGTAGTTGTAATAATAACATAACAGAAGATACAAATAACAAAATACGTATACTTCCCTACAAAACTCAGTAAACACACGAAATCTCGGGTCATACTTCATTTTCTCAATCATTTTTAGGCCATATTCAGACTGTAGTTCGTTCAGTCAATCAAACAATTTATTTATAAGCAGATTTAAAAACCAACACAGGATGACCAAAGTGCTATACAGAGTTGGTTATCAATAGGTCAATGTTTTGGGGGTTTTAGGAGCATTCATTGCACTATGAAGCACAATAAGATGAAGTAATTTCTTTTTGTGTCCTGTTTGTTTTCAAAGATGAAAACCAGCACAAAGAGACTTCACAGCGATCACCATGGTGATTTGACTTTAGATGGATGGCTCACTTTATCACAGTAGTGGGCAGGGGTCGGCATTTACTCAGCTTTAACATCACTCTGGGTTCTTGGCTAGGTTAGCATTAGCATGCTGTCTGTGCAGGTGCTCACGAAGAGCCGAAATTTTGTTAACAGTATAATGCAGTTGTTTCTGTCCTGAAGCAGTCTCCACTTTACCGCGCTTGTTTTTTTGTTTGTTATTTGTGCAATAAAAAAAAGTAATGTCCATATCCATGCTGGAAACCGCACAGTTATTGTACTCCTCCGACACGCGAACTGAAATCAGCTTATCGTAGCGAGAGTGCACGAACTGATAAGCAGGATAGATATAGGCTGGCAAGTCGGTTCTCGATTCCATCACCATCACTAACCGTTATAGCTCTATAGAGCTTGGGGACAGAGCTCTGACAGTGCAGGTATGGATCATGGTCCACTCAGACTCAGTGGCCCCAGTCTCCCGACTTGCATGCTGTTGAAGCTTTGCTAGAAGTGGGAATTCTCACAGACCAGGGTCTCTTCCAGACTTTCACAGTGTGCCCTCACTAACCATGGGGCTATTTCCCACATACGCATGGAAATCCCACAGTAGAAAAGTGACCCAACTGGGGACAATGGAGTCCCTACCCTGAGTCTGACCCTTATTCACGGTGGGGCCCAATAGCCCCAATCCTGGTGAGATAACACAATCTACTTTTTTCTCCACCGAGGTGACATTGTAATTGCATTTTCAGAGCACTAGATGCTGCTGGTAGTTTTGTAATTTAGGAAAATAACTTCACCCGAGTGATGACAGAAATGATCAGTTCAAGGTTTCACAATGGATATTCTATAACCCAGTATTAGAGCCCGTAGGTGTGCCGTGAAACATGATCAGGTGTGCCATGGAAGATCATCTGGTTCCACCTGATTAGTACTGTAAGCGATCAGCGTGATGGGCAAAACACTTACATTCTCTTCCACTAGAGGGCAGTACAACTACCTGTTCTAATTAAATGAGTCACGCCGTAAGACGATGCAGTGCGTAATAGCAATAGATAAATACAGCGGAACCCCGGCTTACGAAGACCCCATTTAACGAAAAATTCAAGTTACGAAGGCACTGAAGGGCAATATGCCCGCGTAATGAAATAGATAAAATAGAAAGTAAAAAAATTAATTAATTAAATTCAATAATGTTATGTACATGTACACGTACGTATGTATGCATGTATACGTATGCTTTCTTCAACCTCTGCCACCTCCTCCTCCACCAAGAACTTCGTCTTCAGCCAGCATCGCCTCACTCAAAAGGCGACGGAAAAAGGTGCTTCGACTTACGAAAATTGTGACTTACGAAAGACCCTCTGGAACAAATTCATTTCGTAAGTCGGGGTTCCACTGTATTTGAAAAGAAAAAGTGTTCAGTCTGACCTGAGTCCTGGAGAAACCTGACTCAGATGAAGACCCTAGTATGAGCAGTGGTCAGAAGAAAGCAAAAAAGGTATACTGGGGACAAACCGAACCAAATCCGCTACGCCTGGTGCACAGGGAAAAATGATCAATATGCTTTCTGTGCTGTGCCCTGTGACTTTTATAATGTGAAATATGTGCTGTGGCTCCAAAAGGTTGGGAAACACTGCTCTAACCAGTGGATAACATCACAGAAGTTACATCCTTGTTTGTTCTACCATTCATTGGTATGATTGAACTCAAAATGTAAACAACTGATATTTTTCACAGGTGGATGACAGGTGAGTGGGGGCCTTGCTCTGTCACTTGCGGTAAAGGTCATCAGCAGAGGGAGGTGTTGTGTCTTTACCACCTACAGAATGGTTCAGTCATCCACACCAGGGACCTGTACTGCCAAGGAGGAAAACCTCCTGTTTTACAGGGCTGCGAGGGCCGCCTTTGCCTCACAGCGTGGGAGGCTTCAGAATGGTCCAAGGTATGGCACATGCACACTTTCTGTACTTTAATTTTAAGAAAACATGAAACTGTAAGAAGAGCCCTTAAGAGTATATCGGATGTATTTAATCTGTAAGATTAAGGGCATCCTGTAAGAGGTGTACTGATTTGAAAACTGAATCAAATTCCTCACCCAGAATATTTGGAAGTTACGTCATGTGGTGTATGATCCGCCCTTTTTCTGTAGGTGTCTGCCAGATTCCTTCAGATGTAATTTTGCTGCAGTGTCAAGAATGCAAATGTTCATGTCAGCTCCTTTAAGTAGCGTAGGATCAAAAAAACCCTTGGATTTTAATCTAACAGAATCAACTTTTGGAGATTTACTTACCTGGATGATTGAGACTGCATCAAGACATTTCTTTCTTATTCTTTTCTCCAGTGTTCATCAAATTGTGGTCAAGGTGTCCGCAGACGTACAGTGTTGTGTACAAACCCTCAGGGTCTGTGTGATCCATTATCCCAGCCAACTCAAGAAGAATATTGTGAGGACTTCTCCAAATGTTACGAATGGAAAACCGGAGACTGGTCCAAGGTATGACAAA